ATTTAACGCTGCTAAAATCGACCTAAACCCGTAGTGTAGACCAGGCCTAAGGGTAAAATCCCTTTACAGCCTCCCCCCCCCCCCCAAAAAAAAAAAAAAAAAAAAAAAAACGAAAGAAAGGAGCAACTAGTGCAATGCCCATAGCAGATCCTGACAAACCCAGTGTAACACCACTCCCGAGGGTGGGTGCTGCTCCACCTGGTCCAGGTGAAAAAGGGCTTTTCCTGCAGCGGCATGTATTGCAGGGGGGCAGGACCTGTAGCTGCAGTCAAAAGTAGCTCTGTGGTGCTCTAGCCCTTAAAGTGGCACACACTTTTTCCAACAAGCCAGACAATGGACCCCACCACTTAATGAGATTATTTTAATTTCTTTGGCACTTGTTTACTAGTACTCTTCCCAGTCATTTACAAGTGATGTTATAATACTTTCCTTTTGTGTCTCATTTTTGCAATGCTGTAGATATTTTTGCCAGCCAACTGTGGGTAGTGTACAAACTTTCTTCTAAATCCATCCTTTAAAATGCACATATTTTGTGATCTATTTCTAGTGATCTCCAAAATTTCTATGCATTCTTGTATTTGTACTGTTGTCTTGTATTTGTCCAGGTAAGATTATAAGCTTTTTGAGACTGGAGCACTGTCTCCCTTTAAAAAAAAAATAGTGCAATAATTGTTGGCTCTCCAGTAAAATGTGAATATGTGAGGTCTGAAAAAAGAGTACTTTAGATGGGCATTCCATGTCTTCATATCTAATATGTGGTGAGGAAACAAAACATAGACCTGTATTTATGTAATTTTTTTCTTCATCAGTTGTACTAAGTCAGTGTAAATTTAAAGTAACCTTCTGGAGGTACTTTTTAAGGAGAAAAAATAATTTCCTTTGCTAACAAAACTGCCTTACAATTTCAGCAAGGCTATGAATATACAGTAAGTGAAATGCAGATGGATTGGAACTGAGCATTTTAAACTACATTTAAAAAAATACTGTTAAAATAACATTGTTTCCAAAGTAGAGTACTCACAAATCCAGGAAATCCCAGGTAGAGAGCAGCAAGGTATTTCTGAGGAAAATTTACTTCTCCAAATGGAAAATTTCTTAATATGGGTTACGGTGATTTTTATTATTATTGCAAAAGGTTTTTCTTCCTTTATTCCTTAATAACAATAAGCATTCAAGGTTAGCTTTCCTGTGTTGTGGAGCAACGTGGGAGCTGGAGGCAGACTGGGTAGTGGTCAGGAAAAGACTTTTCAAGATTAGGCAGCTGTTTAGAAATTGTCTAGTTAATAGTTTTTCTCCTGTTGCATATAAACTTGCAAAATCATCTCAGAATATCTGTTTTCATCTAAAGGCACATCTTTCGTCTTAACAAAACTAAGTTTGTGCTTTGTTTTGATAAACATTCTTTCCGTGGAAAACAGTATTCTTTAATTTTTTAGCTTTTTTTCTTAAGTGTAAATCTACAATATTTATTTACTCATCTTCCCTTTGGTTTTCCAGGCTCCCATCCCAAAAAGTGTAATTGTTCCTGTTATACCCATAACCAAATCGACAGGATCACGTTTCCGGAACAGCATAGAGGGGCTGAATCAGGAGATTGAGATAATAATTAAGGAGACAGGAGGCAAGGAAGAACAGCTGATTGTAAGTATCTACTGCCCCCAAAAAACTGTTTTTCAAAATAAGCTTTTTTTTTTAAGAGAATTTTTCTTTTCACATTGACTTACTGTACAAACTTGGTAATGTAAATTTGCACATGATTAACTTGTCTTCTACTACTGAAGCAGAATAAAAAATTTCCTAATGATTAACTGTCTTCTACCACCACATGAATAGAAAATAACTTCCTTTAAATCTTTTGCTGTTCTCTTCATGTTTACAATGTTTACACTGAGGTATTTATGCCATAAGTAATCAACAGAAAAAGGAACAATTCTCTAAAACTTATTTTGGTGAGAATTGCTTTAGTCATTTTTATAGCGTTTGTTTGCTTCTTTCTCCTCCCTCCTCCCCCCCCCCCCCCAAAAAAAAAATCAGGAAAATTCTTGCCTATTTTGCATCAGAATTCATGGTTGTTATAAGTGACTTTCAAAAGTAACTATTTCACATACCCAAGCCCAACCCCAAAAAGGAACCACTGGTGTTTTATATTAAATTGTTACTCTTCAGTGATTGCCTAGCTATGTTTTCATATGACTGTTTGTTGCCTTTTGGAAAACACTGTCCTCATGGCTTTCTTTAAGTGTATTGTTCTTCAAGGAATTTCTTACTCTCCTGAAGTCTGACCTATCATATCATCTGTTGGAGTCTGTGTAGTACAATAATTCATCTTCCTCCGAATAGGCTTCTGTTATGTAGTGGACCGGGTATAAGAAACTTCTTAAGTTGTATAGTAATCCCTTTCCTGATGAGATGGGCAGCTTCACTCATATGAAAAAGTATGATTTTTTTTGTTTTGTTTTGTTGGTAACAGCCGCAAGATATTCCAGATGGGCACCGTGCTCCCCCTCCGCTGGCGCAGCGCAGTAGCAGTACTCGCAACATGGATACCCAAACACCCGGTGGAGCAGACAGAGGCAGTAACAACAGCAGCCGTTCCCAGTCTGTGTCCCCCACCTCGTTTCTTACTATCTCAAATGAGGGCAGTGAGGAGAGCCCTTGCTCTGCTGATGACCTTCTTGCTGACTCCAGAGATAAAGGTACTACATAAATGGGCTCTACTGTTATGCTGCTCTTACAATTTAAGAAAGAGTTGCACTATTCAGCACTTGGTCTTAGTATTTATTTCATTCTTTAATAACCGGTAGCCACCCATATTCAAATGATGGATTTTCCTCATTCACTGTTCTGCCCCAAGATGTATACTAGGAGAAGGAGTTTTCACCTCCCTTGTACAGTGATGGAAAGTTAACTTTTCTTTTTCTTCTAGGCAACCTTATTTTCCCAATTCCTCCATGTGTGAAGATATTTTGTGTGCATGTGCACTCTTATACACCTATCAGAGTTTGGTAATTGAGAGGGGGAAATTCTGATCAGAAACTGCTGCTTTAGCTAGTTTTTAGAGAATGCAAGGACAATGCATACTATATTTCTCTTTTTTTTTTCCTGTTTGAGACTGTGAGCTCCAACTCTGCAGACCATGAGGTGCATGTTGCCATAGCTGCTACCAAACAAGCCATAAGGGTAACTTACTGCAGGCTTTTTGGGGTGTGTGGGTGTGTGTGCACGCATGTTGTTCTGTTTTTTGTTCTTTCTTTTTTTCTTTTCTTTAAAAAAAGAGACCTGTAAACTTCCTTACAAATATATTTTGGACATATGTAAGTGATGTCTACATGCTATTTGGAGCATAAGGCTGATCGGACATACACTGACGTCAATAAAAAGACTCCTGTTGACTTCAGTGTACGTTGGATCAGACCCATTGTGTGATTATTTAGTTATAGGTTTCCTGTTATCAGAACCCAAAGCTATTGCACATAATGCATAATTATTTTGTGAAACTCATTGTCATGGGATGTTGTGATGGCCAAAATATAACTGGGTTCAGAAAAGAACTAGGTAAGTTTATGGAAGATAAATTCATCAGTGGCTGTTAGCCAAGATGATCAGGGATGTAATGCCATACTTGGCGTGACCCTAAATTTCCAAAATTGCCTGTTCTGTACACTATCCCTGAAGTTCTGGTACCAGCCACTGTCTGAGACAGGATACTGGATTAGATAGACCATTGGTCTGACTCGGTACGGCCATTCTTATGTACTACACACACATTTCTAAAAAATTGCCAGAGCACTTGGATGATTTGTGTTCATAAATGGTGAAGAAAAGACAGCCTATGGACAACAGTGAAAAACACTACCCAAACTCCTCTAAAAGTTTAATAAACCAGTGACTGATAAACATCAAGATGGAAGTAGTATAAATGGAACTTGCCATGGAACCTGTCAGTTTACCGACTTTTTGAAATTAGCCCATTATATAAGGTTACTTTTTGATGGCAACATCATGACAAATATTTTCATAAATTCTGTAGTAGGTTTAGCGACTTATGTTTTGATATGTCTTTATCTGAGACTGAAAATGAATGCTTACAAAAACCTTACTTAAATTAACTCACTGACAAGGGTTTCTGTAGCCCATTCCTTTTTTCTTGTGTTTCATAGACTGAGAATAAAAGCATAGGGTTCCTTTACTTATAAGGAAAATGTCATCTTAACATGGGAATTTGTCTCTGTTCTAGCTATACCTTAAAATAAATCCCAGGAGAACATGCTATTAATAGCCATTTTATCATATCCCATCATATAAAACGTGACCTTTAATGGGAGAATTGCGCATTGTTGAATATTCTGTATGTTTAAACTGCCAATTAGAAAGTAGTGAATGCCTAATAGTAGAAAAACACACTTGCCTGTTACATGCACCCCCTAGCATTCGGTGCATCTTATTTGCTATATTTAATTTTTCTTTGATTACTAGGAACATTTAGATGGTAACAGTAAAAGGATTTTTGTTTAATAAGGGTTCATCTCTTGCTGCTGCTTAGTCTTCACTCGAAGACTCTGTTTGTATCTATCTCTAGGGTAACTAATTGTGATGGCCTAATCAGACAGACCTGCTATATCAGGCCAACATGTGCTATCTCCCATTGATTTTGCAAGATGAATAAAACAGCATACTTGAATTCTTAATAAGCAAAGGTCTCGTTTTTATAAAGATATTACTAGTAATTACAAATTATAAAGCTTACTATCTAGAATATTTTCATAATTTTTTTCCAAAGGTTACTGGATTTTTAATACTGTGCTTATTAATGTATCTTATTACTAGCTAAAGGTTTGCTATCATTGGGCTTATGAATGACATTTTATTTAGTAGAATTGAGTTCTGCTTATAATAAAATAAAAGATAAACCTTTAAAAACAGGGGGAAATTACTTTTTTTTTTTCTTCCCTTTTATCTGTAAATTACCTGGCAAGAGATTTTGGTGACTAGGTGCTATATAAACATTACACTAACTAAAATTGGATTTCGGGTAAGACATCTTAACAGATATTATTAACCTAAACTTTCAAAAGTGACTAGTGATTTTAGGGTATGTCAATTTTACGTTCCCCAATTTGAAACACCTATAAGGGATCTTGCTTCCCCCCTCCCCCTTTACAGGGAAAGTGCTTTGCATTAGCACTTTTTGAATATCAGACTCCTTTAAAGTGGTCCATGTTGGGCAACCAAAAATTGAGGCACCCCAAATCAAGTCACTTTTAGAGAGTATAGACCTGTTAAAATAGCCACTCTTCCAAAACTCGGCCAATTATACATTATTTTGCTTATTCAGCAACAGGAAGTAGGAGATGCAATGTAGTTCAGTAGATGCTTTATTGGAGCAATCAGAATCCCTGAGTTCTCTTGCTGGCTCCACCATTGACTCATTATGTGATGTTGGGCAAGTCACCTAACCTTTCCTAATCTGTAAAATGGGGCTGCTAACAATTATCCAGCTTTAAAAAACATTTTGAGATCGGCAGATGAAAAATGTGATTAAAGACAGCACAGCCTTGAAAAATCTGTGTCTGTTGGGGACAATTTCCTAGAACTGCTTGACTAAAGGAGGACTGGATGAAAGGCATGAATCCACATGCTCCATTTTCCCTCTTGCTTTTAATTTCCTTAATTCTTTTTTTTTTAATTTTTTGTTGTTTTTGATACGTGCCACAAAAATCTGTCTGTTGGGAATATTGCAGTTAACATATGGCAATCCAAAAGGTGTGTAAATATTTTGGTTTTGTTTTGGATCTATGGTATCTGTTCTGTATGTTGATAATCTAGAATTTGTTTTGTTTGTTATAAAGAAAAAGATTGAAAAAATTGTATAAATAGTGTTAACAAAGAAAAGTGTGATTAAAAAGTTTTAACACAATTCAGCAGCAACCTGTCCTGATTTAAGGTGCATTGCTGATAGACCTCAAATGAGACCTGTCCGGTCATCTTGGCTGGATAGGTTGTGATTAAGATTGAGATGTGCGATTGTAAAATTGGGGTGCTGTGGAACATATGCAGGGGTCTCAAAAGAATATAAAGGAGTTGTGGGAGGGAGGAGGTTGAGAGTTGTGATATATGAAGGAGTCCATCTACAGGTGGAGGAGAAAAATGTTCCAAAGAACATGGGTAACGGGGAATGGGAAAACTCTTGATTTAACTTTGTAATGTTGGTAATGAAGGCAGTTTGGATTTGTTTGTCTTTCTTTTAAAATAAGTGGGTTCATTTAAATATTTTGGTATATTTGAGTAATTTGATATTCTTTTCCCACAGAGAATGGGAACAACTCTCCCTTGCCCAAATATGCTACCTCGCCAAAACCCAACAACAGCTACATGTTCAAGCGTGAACCTCCTGAGGGCTGCGAGAAGGTGAAAGTCTTTGAGGAAAGTTTGTAAGTAGTTCTTCAGTTCATAAGAAATATAACATTTATCATTCAGGCTGATCTGACATCAGTTAATTTAGTTCAGTGTCTGACACAGAAACTGCTCCTCAGTCTCTTAACTATTACTACTACTACTGTTAACATTACTACTTCTACAAGGGCCTCTTTGTAGTCCCATTTGTAGAACATGGTGCTCCTGGCATCGAGCTATGGAATTGTCTTGAAAAGCTGTGTACGTTGGAGGTGGTGCATGAGAGATCATCCTGCCCCATCCCCTTCACTTCCTTTGCTGCGAATGGAATTTGCCTTTGTGTCTGTGGGCTAGTTCTTCCCTTACTCTAGCTGCTTATTCTCTTGTATAGTAGGTTAGTATAGAGTAGCAGGGGATAGTGCTGCATACATTACCTGCCCTTACCAAGGGAGTCTTTGACTCTCATTGGGACCATGTGAGGCCCTTAGCCCTCTAAGGGCTTCAAGAGTTGCTCCCTCTTGCCAGTCATTCATACCGGAGACTGATCTCCATATTCAGTGCCTTTTGTGTCTGATGGAGACCCACTCGATATTCTGGTGTGAGGTTTGCTATGATTTGCACCCCACACTAGAAGGGAGGGACACTTGTGGCTCCAGATTCATATGGCTTCTCAGTGCCTAAAGCCTAATCCTCCAGTGGACCTATCAGTGGTACTGAGACAACCCTCTGTGCTTAAGTCCTCTTACACAGATACCAAGATGTACAGTACTGCTCCAGTCTCAGCACTGCCTTTTTCTGTGGGCTTGAGGTTAGGATTTCCTTGCCCTTCTACTGGTGAGAAACCCTTACCCAGCATTCCTTGGTGCTGCTGGCACTAGCTAAATCAAAAGATACACTAAAGAAATATTTTTCAAATCACCTCATACAAGTACTATAGTGCAATCTCTTAATTGTGAAAGTGCAACTTACAAATATAGAATTATTTTTACATAACTACACTCAAAAATAAAAATATTTAAAAACTTTAGAGCCGACAAGTCCACTCAGTCCTACTTCTTGTTCAGCCAATCGCTAAGACAGACAAGTTTGTTTACATTTACAGGAGATACTGCTGCCTGCTTCTTATTTACAGTGTAATCTGAAAGTGAGAACTGGCATTCGCATGGCACTATTGTAGCCAGAGTTGCAAGGTAATTACGTGCCAGATATACTAAACATTTGTATGCCCCTTCATGCTTCGACCACCAGTCCAGAGGACATGCTTCTGTGCTGATGATGGGTTCTACTCGATAACAATCCAGAGCAGGGCGGACTGATGCACATTCATTTTCATCATGCGAGTCAGATGCCATCAACAGAAGGTTGACTTCTTTTTTTTTTTTTTTATTGGTTCGGGTTCTGTAGTTTCCAAATCAGAGTGTTGCTCTTTTAAGACTTCTGATGGCATGTTCCACACCTCGTCCCTCTCGGATTTTTGAAGGCACTTCAGATTCTTGAACTTTGGGTTGAGTGCTGTAGCTATCTTTAGAAATCTTGTACTGGTACCTTCATTAATTGCAGATTTGACAAAATGCAAAGTGTTCTTAAATCGAGCAACACATGCTGGGTCATCATCAGAGACTGCCATAACACAACATATATGGCAGAATGTGGGTTAAACCATGGACAAGGAGACACAATTCTCCCTTAAGGAGTTCAGTCACCAATGTAATTAATGCATTATTTTTTTTAATAAGAGTCATCAGCATGAAAGCATGTCCTCTGGAATGGTGGTCAAAGTATGAAGGGGTTTTATTAATCATGAATTAATTTTTTTAATCAAGTTAATTTGTTTGTAGTTAACTCACACAATTAACTCAAATTAATTGGCAACCCTAATTTAAGGTTTCAGAGTAGCCGCCGTGTTAGTCTGTATCCGCAAAAAGAACAGGAGTACTTGTGGCACCTTAGAGACTAACAAATTTATTAGAGCATAAGCTTTGGTGGACTAAAGCCCACTTCTTCGGATGCATACAGAGTGGAATAAATATTGAGGAGATGTTTATGCTCTCTGTATGTGTGTATATATATCTTCTCAATATTTATTCCACTCTGTATGCATCCGAAGAGGTGGGCTGTAGTCCACGAAAGCTTATGCTCTAATAAATGTGTTAGTCTCTAAGGTGCCACAAGTAACCCTAATTTATACACTCTAAATATATCACTGTAACAGGGTGGCTTGCCCCTTTAAGGGCTAGAGGCCTGGGGCCAGCCAACCCTAATTATAAAATAGGAACACCTGAGTAGGATCAGGTGATTCCCCTACAAGAGCAGCAGGAAGCTGCAGAGAGAGGGAGAGAAACTAAGTAAAGGACAACCAAAGAAAGCTATGGCAGAGACTTCAGAAGAGCTGCTGTGAGCAGGAGTTATACATGTCCTCTACAAGACCCTTGACCAGGGAAAGGTTTGAGCCTGAAAGCCAGAGGGCAAAAGAAGGCTGAGGGCTAGGGAGAGCAGACTCAGGGGAGAAGAGAACCCCGAGGACTAAGATTTTGTGTTTTATGCCATTAAATTAGACCTTGGGAGAAGGGGTGGTATTGTACAAAAAAAGCCTGTGTGGTATTTATTTCAGGAACCTATAGATTCAGAAGGATAAAAAGGAGGAAGGGCTCCTGCAGACCCATGCTGGTCACTGGAGGCGCTACAGGGCGGAGGTTAAATTCCTTCCTGACATTACTTCATTGACTTCAGTGGAGTTACACCAGAAGTGAATTTGGATCACTTTTCTTTTTTACTCTTAGTGTAGTTTCCTTAGCCCTGATTAATTGACACCTAATTATAAAATGCCTTTTCATTAGGTACTTTCCTGTAATTTACAAACGTCGTAGGTCTCAGAAGGAAATGTGCAGAGAGACTGTGCAGCTGCTATTTTTTATTTTCACTGAGAGTTTTAGGAATTGTTTAGATATCAACCCTCGAGTGCTAGCAGTCATAATGTATCTTCCTGTCCTATTGCAAGCCATGGAATGTATGCTGGGAAATTCATATTCTTCAAGTAGATGCAGCTGTGTATTTCACATAAGTATGTGGGTGTGCCCAGCAGTCTGGAGCTGGAGAAATTTGCCTAGCAGTACCCATAGAGGGGCAGGGCTCATGCCTTGTGGTCATGGCCCCTCTCCTGGCTACATGAGGTGGTGCTGCCCCAACCCTCCCTTGGTTCCTTCTTACCACCCATGGCTGGAATCGGAGCTCTGTGTGGTCTCAACCTAACAACCTTTCAACTAATTTAGTTTTTTCTCTTGTTATATATACTTAGTGTTAGTTATAGTAGTTTGTTTCCCTTGGTGATGTTCTCACCGGGTTTTAAACATTTGTCATTCATGTGGGGGAGCGATCCCCTCACATAGTGCTTGCTCTATCTCAGCAAGGCCCACATCAAAGAGTGTTGCTGTTGCATGATTTGCAGGTCATTTAAGAAACGGACTCAAGTGGCTCAGGACTTTGGCCTGAAGCAGCACCTACTAGAACAGGCCATGTGGCCTGCTTCAGTATCCAGGCCCTCCTTGGGCCGGAGATCACCCTCGGACTCCGAGAGTGCAGCTGCTTCACATTCTGGAGCAGGGGCCTCCGATGAGGGAGAGGTCGGTACCAACTGTTTCCACATCAGTGGCATACCAGGCAGCTACAGGCCTCCTCTGCCTTTTGGTCCCGACCTCTCCTTTGGTGCAGGACTTTTCCAGGGCTGCATGAACTATAGCCCCATCAATCGAATGAGCCACTGAACCTTTGGGTCTGTCGTCCTGGAGTGGTACGGGGGACCTAGATACTGATAACCTCCTCTGCACCACTGCAGCTGGTGCACCGCAAATGCTTCCACGGCAGCTTTCACCACCCTCCATGTCAGTACCCTCAGATGCTCCGGTACTGTTTTTCAATTCAGGACTGAGACTGCTTCCGACACCGGCATGATCAGCACCACATCCATCGGCAGCACCGCTTCCTGCCTCATTTTGGGCGATGGACGAGGTCAGACTCACTACTTGCTCCCTCTGGTCTTGCTCTGCCCTTATCACTGGGATCCTGAGGCTCCTCTGCATCTGAATCAGGGTCGTCATCCTCCTGCTCTCCACCACCTGACCAGCATCAGCGGGCTTTGCTGGACCATTACAGGTACCAGGATTGGCGCACGTCTCATGGTTGGGACGGAGGTGCCTGGCCCGGGTGCCTACTGGTCAGCAATGCCTTATCCATGTCTGTGGCCTCCATGGAATCCTCCTTGGTCGTGGAGGTCCCACTTTTCATCTCCTGGAGGGTGAGATCACTGCCCAGGTCTGCAATGGAGACTATCAAACCACTGCAGGCACAGGGACCAGTAGTCCTCCTTCCTGCAGAGCCTCCAGAATTGTCCCAGCTGGGCCCGTCAGCCCTGGAATAGGATCTGGCTTTGCCTCAGTGAAGGGCCTTGTCTTCCTCTCCGGATGATGCTGTGCTGCCTGACTCATCCTTCCCTTCAGTACCGGAGGATTTTAAGGCATACCAAGACCTGTTGCAGCATGTACCTGCTTCCCTCATTATCCAGGTGGAGTTCTTGCAAGAGAAGACTCACAAATTGGTGGACATCCTACAGCTGTCTGCCCTGAGAGTCTCCCTCCCTATCAGTGATGGGCTGCTTGAACCAGCTATGGCTCTCTGGTGCACATCGCCTGTGGCTAAGTGCATGGAAAAGCACTATTTCATTCCTGTGCAGGGATTTGAGGGATTTTGCTCCAATCTGGCACCAAATTCTTTAGTTGTAACTGCAGTGAATGACAGAGCTCGGCAGGGAAGGTTTAAGTCCACCCCCAAGGATAGGGTTTCTAAATGATTGGACCTCATGGCAGGGCTGGCTCCAGGCACCAGACGAGAAAGCACGTGCCTGGGGTGGCACATTGTAAGGGGCGGCATTCCGGCCAATCTTGGGGCAGCCAGCCCAGCCCTGAAGGGGCACGGACCCCGACCCTGGGGGGGCAGGAACTAGTAATCCCCGCTGCTCATCGTGCTGCCGGGCTCCCTGGGATGT